TGTTTTGTCAACCTGGGTGTTCACTCGCCACCTCTTTTGTGGAAATTTGGTTAACTCTGGCAATAATGATGTTGACTGGGGCAGTGTATGAAAGCCTACAGTGTTCCAAAACACTTTGGATCCATTTTTCCAAAGGAAAAACTGAGGCTTGTTTTTTATAGCCATTTTATAGCCACCAAAACAACATTACAAAAGTAAAGCTGTACTACAAGAAGACCAGCAAAACCACAAAACAACTGTTGGCTCCAAACTGAAGTGAGAAAGGCAGAACAAAAGGGAGAAAAATAACATTCTGTTGACGAATCAGTTCACAAATGCCAATCTGTGTTTGTTTGGTGAGAAATCTTTGATGTGAGACTATAAAAAGAAAGAAGTGCGTTCACACTGCTCCTTGCTCTCTTCTTCCAGCAAGTTGAACGGACTCATCTCCTCTTAACTTGTTGGCTCAATGATTTGGCTGGGCACCTTGCCACTTTGGTTTCCTTTAAAACTAGCCAGACAAGGTGTCTCATTTAGACAACAAAGAGAGGGAGGCACTCTGAGAGTTGGAGGCTTGATCAAAGATGTCTGATCAGAGGCGTCTCCACTCAAACAGGTTTTTGACTCTGTTATGTAACACTTTAGTTTTCCTGCTGACTCTCTAAATCTCTTTCTCTTTCAGTTTGTTATGGGCATGACTTTTTGAAATAGCATTTTTAACAAACGGCAGCATACTGTAAGCCAGCAAATACCAAATCAATAGATGTCAGACTATATATATATATGTATTTAAAAAATGTTTTTATAAATAAAACAGGATAATCAGTATCTAAAATGTCTCTCTGCCCATCACTGTCTCTGAAACCCTTAAACCCTGACCTTTTGGGGTGCACTTCAAACATCTCTGTCTATCTTCATGTGAGCCATTTTGATTGGGTTAAATCCCTCTATGACTGACAGCTGGTGTCAGCCCTGCCTCTGGTACAGCTCATGATAATGGCCTCCAGTGCCTCACCAAGGCCACAAAATAATACAGTGGAGAGGCACTCAGCCAGATCCGTGTGTGTGTGTGTGTGTGTGTGTGTGTGCGTGATGCTGTGTGGGAAGGCCCATTAGCATTCATCAGTGGGATAATAGGCCAGCGTTAATGTCAGCTGTTTATATAAAGAATAACTCATAAAGCCCTGGCGTATATGGGCGGATAGACCATGCATTTTTTCAACGCCACATTTGGCAGGGTGTGTGTGTCCAAGTACAGAAGGGTGGCAAGGGATTGGGGAGCTAGAGCACTCTGATTCTCAAATTGGAACCGTTTGACACTAAAGTGAATTTACTTTCCAGATATAACTAGGGGGGCGACAGTCATAACATTTTCTTGTTATCAAGATTTATCATAGATTCCAGATTTAAGGGGGAATTAACTCACAATCACCCACAAAACTGCAGTGTTTTAGAGGATGATTCGTTTTTCTTCAAGTTGTGTGATTTAAAATAATATTCTGAATAAACAACTCCAGCATCTAGAGGTGCTCCTCTGCAACACAGCTTCAGCTCCCTCTCTGAGTTTATCACGTCTGGGCTCTCGTGGTGACGACAGAATCACAGATTGTACAGTTAATGGTGTCGTCGTCCAACTTCCTCAGAACCTCTTAGGCATTTTAAGTGTATAAGTCAATGTGTCGTTTAAGTCAGCCTGACTTCACATTCCTAAATAGCAGGAGTTGGGAAGGCCTGCTTAAATATAAATGGTGAAGTAAAGCACTTTAAGAGTGTACCAAATGGTGCCGAGCACAACAGAGCAGCTTCGCCTATATCAGCCATTAAAGCTAGGGTAGGCAACGTTGAAGAAACTAGCAAGAGACAGGTACATTTTGAAAATGACCAACCAAAAATATCCCACCCCCTCCAAAGCCACTCCACCAAAACACCATTTTTATGGGCAGCGAGTGCACGAGCAGAGTGTGGGAAGATAGGTAGGCCTGTGACAGCCACAGATACCAGATGGGATGTAAAAACAATTTCATCAAATATAACAAAAATGCTTGTGAAATACAATACCTAACCTAGCTTTAAAGGAAAAGATTGTAGAAAGTGTATAGAAACCTATGGTACAGTATGATTCAGATGTGTAAATATACTTGTAAATGTATAGCATCTACACATGTAGATGTGAAGAAAGTTAAGAAAAGCTGCTGCTGGAGAATGACACAGACACCCACACACGTATACATATAGTGTACAAAGTAAATTGTGCGTCAGTTATTTCTGTGAAAAGACAGCAATTTCTGTGATGCCCTTTCTTAGTTTTCTCAGTTTTTTTCTTAGTTTACTCATAAAGCAGAACAATAAAGTACAAGAGATAAATAATCCATGATAAACAAACAACTGCTAATTAGAGTGATTTTCCTAAAACCTTGCCCTGTGTGTGTGTGTGTGTGTGTGTGTGCGTGCATGTGTGTGCGTGTGTGTGTGTGTGTGTGTGCTCATTATCTCCACCAGTGTTTGAGCACTGATCACAATTCTTTTTAATTAACCCACGCTGTGTATTTTTACCTTACAATTCAATGCTGCTGCATTGCACGCCAATCAAACAGACAAAGAAAACAAAATATCAAACAGTCATGTGTGGGAGGGAAAGGCAGCGATCAAGACTGAAATACGGTGAGTCAAGGAAAGAAACAACTATCTGACAAGGTGCCTCTTTGAAACCTACACTGTGTCACCTCTAATGAGCGGATTTGTGTTTTGTGGATCAACTTAGTCATACAGCTGTCAGATTACAAATACTCAGGTAGCAACAAGAATTAGCCACCGTGTGGACGCTTATACTCGCACTGTGGCAGTTCTGCTGCGATTCATGAAATGTTTACTGATGTATGACTCCTGCTCTGCAAAAATAATCTCATGTTTATGAGCTTTAACCTGGAAACCTTATAATTATCTATTTTAGGTCTAATTTTTTTAACAAATGTATGCCTATGTTGCACTGTGTGTGTCTTCTTTAAACTACTGAAATATTTTCTACTACATTTAGTTCAACAATGACTAATGATGGAAATTATTGTCACAATCAAACAAAATGTGCGAAACAGTTGTGGATAGAGGGTCCAGTTTACCACCAGTTACTTTCCACCACAGTTAATTTGCATATTGAGATCCAATCCCATGCAGGGCAAGTCAAGATAATGAGAATGTTTAATAATACCATGTGTAAATGTGGACCCCCGTGGATCAGATGTCACTATCCATATAAATGTCCAGATCCAGATCTCATTCTAATATGGGGCTCAAATCAAGGGTTATACAGCCCTGAAAACTTTATGTTAAGTGTTTTGTGGATCGTCCAGATCCTATTTGAGCAATCCTGCAGCTTCAGATGCACAAAACACAAGCTGCACTAAAAAAGCTTCTTTTTCATTGGATTGCTTTGTTCTGACCGACTGTCTAGCAACAGACAAATACTTAAAGAGAACACATAAGAATTAAAAGATGTAAAATGTAAAAATGATACAAAACCTTGGCCAGGATGATTTTCAATGAGAATAGAAAGAGGCAGACAGACCACCCAGAAACCCAGAGCAGGGTATCCCAGAATTTCAGGTGTGAAATCCTGGCAAGCTCAATGGAATACAACACAGGAAAACTGTTTGCGAAATAAGCCAACAGCAATTTGTTTGGCAGCTTGAATGTCACTTTTTCATTTAGACTTTTTCATTATTCCCTCAATTACTTGTGCATTCACTTTACTGCTATTTCTATACCTCAGTGTTTCACAACTTTTTTTGCTCTTACTCTGTAACCTGAAGAAGGGATTGATTAAACACCTCCTACATAGGTTAGAGCAGGTAGCTGAGGTAACGATGAGCGGAGTGACAGACAAGTTGAGAGAAATCTTCTTCTCAGGGACCTCACTGTGTCCAACGCTTCCCAAGGTCATGTCTGCTCTCCCTGCAGAGAGCCTTTGTCACTTTTAATAACTTTTAAAGGGAACATTTTTTCTCTACTCTGACAGGCTGAGGAGTAGAGGGACCAGGCGCAGAGTGAGACAATCCCAAAGTGCCAACAGAGCGAGGAGGTGTGAAGTGAGGAGACAAGCCTGCAATGACTAACAATGTACGCTGTTACTACTTTATGAAAAGTATCGTTACGTAGAACAGAAATATGACATGATGTCAGTCACTGTTTCTCTTTCAAGTTAGCCTGGGCAGAGCAATCAGTGTGGTTGTAATCACTATTCTGTCATCTGTCTGCGCTTCCCATTGTTGTAACACTATGGCAGGATATCATGTATTAAGACACAAACAGTGTAGTGTGAAACCATAGTGTGAAACATACAGACATGGATTTTCTACAGATAGAGAGAGGTACAAACCCCCAGGGTCAAGCCATGCTGAAGAATTATATCTACTCATACTACTTTATGATGCTCTGGATTAATGTCTCAACCAATTGGCATTGTTACATGTTACTGTCACTCAGTGGGATATGGAATTAGGGCAACATGGGGACCAAGTGGGTATGAAAACCATTTGTTTATGCAGATCATATTGACCGGAAGAAACAGTGTGACATACAATATGTACTGTCCACAGGGATGCACAATTAAATTTTTTCACTCCTGATACTGATTCAGAGTACCAAACCAATACAATGTTCTCTCTTTCTCCCAAATTTAAAATCTGTCTGCCTCAATGAGTGGAAATTAGATCGAGATCATTTTTATGCAAGGTAACATGAGGCCAGGAATTGCTGTGACACTAAAAACTAAAATTAACCATGGCCACTGATAACTGAATGAATGTAATTGGTAGACATTTACATTAAAACTGTATTGAATGTGGATTGGTCATATCATGGCCAATACACTACCTACTTAGTTGGGTCAGTATAGGAGCGGACACAGTCTAGCTTGTCAAGGCAGTGCATCCCTATAATTCCAGTTTAGCTTATTGGTTAGGTTTAGTTGCAATGCTTATGTTTTCAGACAAGTAGGGTTTCTTGCATTAAGTCCACCTCCATACCTGTTCCTGTCGGTCAAGCCATCTGTCCACCATTGGATGGTTGGCACTGAGGGAAGATCGAGTCATCTCTCTCTGGAACTGAGTGGTCCAGCCACTCGCATCACGAGGAAGACTCCGATAGGCATGGCCTCCTCTACCCTGCAAAGGTACAGGAAGAGGAGGAGCTATTAACATCCCTGCAAGACTATAACACAGAAGCTACTATCAGAAGAAACAGTTTACTTACAGTGATCATGCCACTGCTGCCGCAAAGAAATGAGAACGTGCATAATCTAAAATAACACAAATTTAAAGACTGATCCATCCTCCATATTTTTGCCCTATTAACATAAAGTTTTGTAGGTTGGTGCTATATACACACATATACATATATACAGTTGGGTTCACTCAGATCCATCTCACCTGGAACACAACCTGTTCCAGGTGAGATGGATCTGTATGTGTAATCAGAGCCAGTGGACAGACTTTCATAATAATAATAAAAACTGTGTTAACTTGAGATACAATAATTGCCGGCGTTAATTAATTAATGCATTAACGCCATAATAACCCGTTAACTTGCCCAGCCCATAGATAGATAGATAGATAGATAGATAGATAGATAGCACTTAGTTTATCTTGGACTTGTGCCACACACCAACACTGTGTTGTTCATTCAAGTCTCACTCAATTCCACCCTTACCCCTAACCCTTCCCCACAGCTAAACCTGAGCCGCTAATAAGAGCTTCTTATAATTAGACAGCCACAGCTGAGCTCTTCCATTACACAAAAAAACACCTTCCAAAATGCTGCTGCCAAGGTAATGTCAAACACCAGCAGACTTGGCCACAAGCACAAAAACATTACATTCCAGACATTCTAGCCTTGGCATTGAAATCCCGGCAATTGAAGGTCATGGTGGCAGTAGCTATTTAAATAAAAAAGAAAGCAAAAAATATAATAATAAGGATCACAGCAGAAACAATAATTCACCAAGACAGACAAAAAGAATGAGAAGGATTTGAGGTCTGAAGAGATACGAGAGCGAAACCGAAGTTTGGATTTCTTACATCACATAACAAAAGAACACAGACAAAAGTTTAAAAAGGGGGCTTGTTGCAGAATCAGAGGGAGGATGATAGGCAGTCGCAGAGGTGAACAGTGGCCAAAGAAAACAAGTTATGATCACTGCGTAATAAAAAAGCAGCAAACAATTATTCCCTGCATGCTATAATTGGCCATGTGTGTTTTAGTGCAGTTGAATGTGCCGTGACGGGACCTGAGGAAGCAATGCAGACAGGACTGTAAAACTCAGCCGGACACGTGAGCTCTACCGAGACAGCCCCTGATAGCCATCGTGACCTCGGTCACCGCCATGCAACACGGCATGACAATGGACCTCTCTCCACAAACTTTTACAACACATCAGATCGTAAAATGCAGAGAAACCCAGATACCAAAGAGGTAGCAGTAAATCAACAGGCTTATATCCACTGCCTAATCCCTTTAGTTGACTGCTAAGCGTGGAGAACCCAGAACGTGACTTATTGTAAAGTCATTTGGAGACGTGATGACTTTACAGTCCTAGCTGATGACTGAGCACTCCCGCTGGCTCATATTGTGGGGATTTAGCAGAACCGAGCCTTACTCAGCCATAACTGGACTCATGGGGAATTGAACAGAACATGACTTGCTATAGTGTGTAAAGGAAATTACTCCAGACAATGGGGAGACGCTATAGTGTATGGCTTGCATCCATATGCTCTTTTGGCAATGCTAATCATTGATGTATGTTTCCCTTTGAGAACAATGTTTGTGCCAGGGCATAAATATTTCAGTCAGTGCTGACTAATACATTCAACATCTGTTGTTGATAGCATAAAAATAGACTTCATCTTGGATTGGGGATAAATATGTGACAGTTGGATGCATAAAAAAAGATATTGAAGATTATTTTATTGAAACAATCTAATGGCCCTGTCAAAAACTGAACAGACTGAAAATAAATGACAGCCTCCAAATGTAAGCTCATTACTTTTCAAACATTCGCCAGTGACAGGAAGATGATTGAAATTGATCTAATTCAGATAACTGATCACCTGCAACAGATGGGAGTCAAGAACTAAGTGGGATTCTTTAACATTACATTCATTCATGCTTTATTTCCAAAATTTGTACAACAATAACCTGAACAGCATTAATGTTGTCCCGTTCAATCAGATATCAACCAAGCACCATAAAGGATCTTCACAATTATGCAAAGTCTCAATTAAAGCTGACTTTTGGAGTAATCCATTCAAATCACTTTTTGTCATAATATGAAACCCAAAACCTGCTTATCCAATAGTGCAAAGCAAACAAAGCGGGAAGCCAACACAATTCTTTTCGAGCACACAAGCTCCTGGATTTGACAAACATTTTAACATATTTGCTCAGTGTAACATGGGCCAAAAAAGAAGCCATCCTGACAAAATGAAAGGTCTAATAACCATTTCACCTCCAACTATTTTCTCCACCCTCTGCCTGGGAGTGTGCTGTTACATTGTTGAGGCTCTGACAACTAAAGTGTCTTTAAATAGGATTATCAGACATAGCTTCCAGACACACTAATCACGTGGAGGTGTACCGTGTCACGTTCTAAGCACTCAATCGTCTCCCTTTTTTAACCTCCTTGTTTTATTGGGAACATATCTCTTTCTCAGCAAGAAGTCAAGGTCTGTCAGAACCACGTGGGGGCGGCCATTTTGCCAAGTTAATTGGCTTCCCTTCTCTTTTGGAAGCCATAGGGAGGATGTACCTGAGCTACGCTTTTTTCAGGATTTATAATCAGAGGCTTAAAAAGCCTGAGAAAAGGTGAATTTGGAACAAAGGGAAAGTGTTTAACAATATCTGCTCGTCTTTTTAGAAGACAAGAAGGGGTGTTATCAGAAGGAACTAGTTTCACATAAAGAATATCTATGCCACTGCTGCATATCTGCAAGCAGGGCAGCACAGGTTTCATATTTAACTGTTGTTTCTTTGATTTGGGGTGCAGAGGAGAGAAGGAATGAAAATGAGGGAAGAAAGCAGTGAGGAATTTAAAAACAGAAAGACTGCTGGAGTTTGGAAGATTTCAGAGCACATCTCTCTGACATTATAATTGATTCAATACCAGTACATCAGCAGCACTGCGGAGAATGACTTCTGGGTGAGTTTTAGTTTTAATACGTCTTGACAGTGGTGTAATACAGAATGAATGCAATCTTTTGTAAGTTCTGTTCAGTTTTCACACCTTTTTAGATTCACATAAACCTTTATGAGATAAATAGCATTTCATGGTATGTAGTGTTTTTTTAGGTATTTCTCGTGATAGTAGTCAAAAGTCAAGTTTGACACACATTTTAAATTACCAATGCATCACTGACCAGATTTACATGTTACCTTTTGTTCCAGGCTGCCGGTTTCAGTGCTTGTGTTTGGTTTGTGGTTGTACTTTTGGAAGCCAGCAGTTGTGGACCAGCGAGTTGGGTTTTTTCTGGACGGTTCCTCTGGACCAACCGGGACTTCGCCCGGAGCAATGTCAGCCAGGGAGGGATCACTGTTGCGACGGACATGGAGAGGCATGTCTGTGGAAGGTACGAAGGGAAAAAGGGGGGGGGGGGGGGGGGGGAATAGAGAGTTACAGCAACATCAAACCACTTGCAGCTTTTTCCATGTATTGAGCAGATCACTTTTCACCCGTCCAACATTGGCACAGTCTGTTAGCTGTAAGACCCCTACAGTACCTCTTTGACTACACTACACAGCAGCTCAGACATGTGAAGTTGCGATTATACATACTGTTTCCTTAAAGTCTATCGACCCCATAAAGAAACATTGTACAACTGAACTATGATAGGCTTGGTTTGGCTTGAGTCCTGCTATAGTGAAATAAATATACTGTAGATATATTTTTAGCTGGAAAATGACCCAGACAGCTATAAAAAATGTAAATATGAGAAACAATGATGTATGTGAAACATTATCCAACCCCTTACTCAGCCTAATCACCCTCAAAAATAACATCATAATTGCAGCAAAATTGCTCATATATTTGTGACTCTCAAGATAAGGATCGTTCTTATAAACTGCACTACTGACTGAAGCCGATTCTGGAATATTTCCCAGGGTTGAAACAGGGTCTCACAACCAAAATACCCCAGCCATCACACATCTACAAGAAGCTGCACAGGAAGCACTGGTCGATGTTGCAGCTGCCACATTGACCAATCTATAAACTAAAACTTTTAATATAGTATATAATATACTATAGTACAAAGTTCTCATATTTAATCAGCACTGCCAAAACAAGTAGAGGGAATGAAGTTGCTCCAACTTCACACTCCAGTTAAAACATTCAATGAGAAATCTAGCTGATGTCTAGTATATCCATGAGCTGTGGTGTGAATCATCTGGGTTTTCCCAAACGGCCATATGGATTTGTTTTTGACGTTCTAGCAGCCTGCACGTTACAGCCATAATTATGCAAATAGTTGGGTAACCACCTGTCAGCCTTCGGCGGATCATTGCAGCGAGCATATGCCGGTGCTAAGCTTCCATCTGATACACCAGAGACATGTTTTAGTGGTGGAAGCAACGCATTTTTAATCACGGCTTACGCTGTGCCGCAACTCGTGCGTATTTAATATTGTGACAAGACTGTGGAGCTTTGAATGCTACTCTAAGTGTTTCTTGTGACCGCCTGCAGGGTAGCCAGGGAATGAAGACAGCATAATCATGAGGCTGATTCACAAAAATAAAGGTGAGATAGACATGTGTTTGTCAGTGCCTTTATTCTCCAGACAGAAAAAATAACACCCTTGCTTTCCAATATTCAACGCCATATATAACACTAATCTTTTCAAGAAGCATCTCACTTAACCTCAGTGACTCACATGTCCTTCACCTGTAATATGCTCACATCATAAAACATCCCTGCCATCTCTCTTCTTTGTGTTCAGTTTATAACTAAATTTAAAAATGTATTTGCTTGTCTGCAATTAAATTGAGTAAAATGAATAAGCTTCATAAACTAAATTATAGTTAAGTTTTTACTTACTTATTATTCTAAATAACACATTCTATATCATTACTGTTTGTGATAGCCAATACAGTTGAATTTGGTGGTAAAAATGACCCCTTGGAGGTCCAAAGAGGTATCCACCGTACATCCATCCACCCACCCAGACCTCCTTCCTGCGTGGTCTCTAAAATAATTTCACTTGACTTCCTCCTTCGCTCCCATCACAAATACTATGGCTTCTAAAGGGACATTTGGGAAGACAGTCTCTGGGACAGGGTAAGACACAGAACAGCACTCAGCAATCCACAGTCAGGAATCAGTAACATTACAGCACGGCAGCTTTTTATATCACAGAACCTTACACTACACTGTTAAATTACTGATATTTTGCATTCATTTAATGGTGATCAAATCACATTTGCCATAGAGTGTAATCTATGTAGGTATCTATTCTTACACATCAACCCTTCTTATTGTTGACAACTTTAGTGTTGGGTTTGACAACGTTTCAGTCTCACTTCCAAAGCTCTCAGTATGGCTGATGCCATGGCAGAAACATTTGCACAGTTATCCTGCTTTCAAAATGATCTGTTGTCACAGCATGTCCCGCAGCACAGCACAGCCCCCTCCTTTCAATAAGAGCAGGAGGGCTCTGGCAGGGAGACTTATGCAAATTACTATATGATGACATCTGGAAACTTCTAGGAACATTCTCAGCAACCAAAAAGTGAAGTTGGCAACAGGGGTTTCAAACTACTTTTTCTATGTGCCTTGAGTTAATAAAATTCTATTTCTCATGAGGGAATCATTGCTGCAAGTCAAGTTCTCATGCAGTAAGTAACAGGTAGCTTGTAAAACCGCACTTTCAAAGTAGCTTTCCCAACACTGTTAAAAGTTTGATCTTCCTCTTTGCAAAACATCTCTGCTGACATAGACCATGCCAACAAAACTCACCAGTAGCTTTTAATACATTCCGTATTCCTCTGTAACAAATGTGTTTCATTTATTTTGGACGTTGTCTGTAGGCGTTCTCAGAGGTCGGGAATTGAGAAAAGAAACCACAGATAGCCGCCAGACAGCCAGTCATTGTGTGTTTACTCTTAAATTAGGTTGAAGATCCAATAATGCCATTTAATAGACTTTGCCCCCTCTTGGTAACGGCTGGTTCACGTCCAGTTCAGGGCTCTAATGACGTTCACCTCAGTCTGTGGGGGTAATTAATGTCAAGTATTATCCTACATGACAGGCTTAGAGATGACACACACACACACACACACACACACACACACACACACACAGTGAGATCCACAGAGACAGGGGAAAATTTAGAGGAAAAACGGGGATTAAATGACACAAAGCAAGGGATAAAACACAGATGCTCTGAGATTGTATAAATATGAAACATCACCTCAAATCCACACACTGTGTTTCTACCTCAGAACGAGGTGTTTTTATGTAAGACTTTTTAATAAAGCTTTGTTTGTTCTGCATCTGTATGCACGTGGATAGAGAGTTACTTGATGCAGATTAAAAGCCTTGGTGTATTTCCCAGAATACCTCAAGGCTCAGCTCTTACTGGATGTCTATCAGGGTCTTTTTAAACCATGACAACATCGATCTTGCTTTATTTGTCGTGATTATTTCCAGACGTATGTTCCATTGTTGGGAACTAATCATTTATTTGTATCATTTGAAAATCATGCTTACGAGCATTCACATCAAATAACTAAATTTTATTAAAATGCTGTAGATAAAGAATTTGGGAAAGCCTGAGTCTGAATGTGAAAATTTCTATAAGACACTCAGAGGTAAATCATGTGTTAATACATTAAGATGAAGATCTAGGTTAGGCAAATCGTTTTCCAATTTCATCAGATCATCTATTCTTACACATCAACTAATAACATCTGGCTGTTTTATGATACCACTGGGGTCTAGATATTGACAAGAATGGCATGTTCCCATTTGAGCCTTTCTCTTTAATAAAATGCTGATCTATCACAGGTACAAATCCTTAGAGATTAACATATAATAAATAAGACTGTTGTTAAGGAGTGTGCACACTGTTTGGAAGGTCACCATATGAAGATTGTCTCCCTCCCTCTTCTCCCTGACCAATTTTGCTTTACTTAATTTGTGATGGGATTATCCTGGCAGTCCAAAGGGTTTGGTTGGTCCCACGTTTAATATCCAGCATCGATCCAGGCTGAAGAGGGAGCGAAGACCATTGGGGGGGGGGGGGGCTAATAAAACGAGGACCTAATCTAGCCCCTGTAGTGAGGGATTATGGCCAGGGCACAGGGTCACCGAGATGTACACACCACAATTCACCACAGGCAGAGGTCAGACTCTCCAGGGGCTAGTACCTCGTTTTGCTTTGTCCTTTATTTATCTTTCACACTCACTTTGTTTGAAGGAGAAAAATATTAGCTTATGTGAATCGCCGTGAATAAGATTGCCATATATACACAGCACAAAAGTCAATATTAAACTCATTTAGTTTAGTATTAGACTGAAGAAACTTAAACGATCTAATTGCTGTAAGGTTATGGACCTACTGGTTTTTACTAGTTTTATGACCAGAGGAACCTGCAGCACAATTTGGAATGGGAAGGAATAATTTTTTAGCAGCGGTGGCAGACCTTGCTTCAATTACAAACAACGTATGTGCCCTCTCCATTGGCAAAACACAAGCCATCATAAATGTTAAGAACAGCACCCAGTTGTAAAAACAGACTCAGTACTGTGAAGTTGAGGATCTTTAAATGTTCATCCATATGACATCTTTAGTTCTTGCATCACAACAAGTCAAATGACATTTCAGTTTTTTTTAACAAATATTAGAAAAGTCTGTTTATAATATATGTAATAATCAATTGCAATGTCCAAACTGTAAAACCATATGACACAAGTGACAGCACAGTCAATGGTGTTGGTCCAGTCAGGAGAAGGAAGGGTTTGTGATGTCGATAAACTGTCAGTAAAAGTTCAGCCTGAATATTACTTGCTTCAATTATGACCTACAGCGAGAGTCCTCTTTACTTGCATAATGAAAACAAATTCATAAATGATTTGGGTTGACTATAATATCAACCAGCTATAGAAATGTTCAGTGAACTCAGTATTGTAAGGACATTTCAGTATTCATTGAGATAGTGACATCCCACAGGATCTCACCTTGCAAAGCCAGACCACAACTCACAAAATGTGTTGTGACAATTTATGCCTGACCAGGTATGTCTCTTACCAATCAACAAATGTTTTAACAATGATTTGACTCACATGTCTTTCAATACCCACACCATGCAAATTTAGTATTTGCATGGCATATTTTGACCAAATATTCATTAGGACACTAATTTTGGAGAAAAGCTTAACACTATCCATGTCTTTCCAGAATATCCAAAGCCAACACCAATGACAACCCACCAATTGGTGCATTGGTCTAAATCTGGAGTAGAGAGGGTTTATGTTGAACCCTGTGAAACAGGAGATAACTGTCAGTCATCAATTGTCAAGTCCGCTTTATAACGTCCATCTCAAGCATATGCCTAGTCACACAAA